TATTACTTTTTTGGAAGAGAGTAAAACCAAATGTGACAGAACAGAATCGGTCAAATCAAAAGGGTGGACATAATAGATAATGTAAAAACATAATACAAGGTGATCAACAATGGTTACCATAATGCCTCCCGCTATCTCTAATAGAATTGCCTATATCATTAGTTATAATACAATTGAACAAAACAGTAAAGAATAAAACCGACAAAACCAAAACATTGGAGACATTGTAGGTCTTCAAAAGTAGATAAAAGTCAATGAGAATGGGCGTTATAATGAATCTCATTATCTTCACAGCTGATGCCTAAACTTTCGAACCTGATACTATCCAGCAAAACAGAATAGGGGAACATCAGTTAAAAACCAGATGGTGAGAGTAATACAGGGCTTTAAATTGAGGTAATGGAAAGTCAAACTGGGTTACTATAATATATCTTGCTACTTTTTTTCCTTTAATTAAAAGGATAAAGATAAAAAAGTAAATAATGGAGTGGAGATTGAGATAAAAGAGGGCATAACAACAAAACAGCGCAGATCAAAACATAACCATTTAAGCAGAATAGTGTTTCACCACCAGATAATCCTAACCTAAAAGTAGTTACCATATTGTCTCTTTCCTTGAAATCCTTGAGTACAACTTCGTATACTGTAGCATTAAGTATATCAAAACAATGTAAAACCATTTAAGAGAATGACAGCATTACAGAGTATTTAGAATCGACTAACAGAAAATGAACAATGGTTTTTGTATAATCTCCTTGTCTTTAAAAGGTTTTTGCTTATACTATCGTACATAATAAAATCCAATAAGATACAACCTATTTAGACCATTGGAGACAAAAGGACAAAAGCTAGATGAGACTTCAAAACAAGATGATACTAAATCAGTATTATCTATTAAGATATCATTTTCTCTAAAATAGCTGTTCCTATCATCCAATCTTCTCTGCCTCATTTCTGTTGAGCTCTTTTTCTGTCAGTAGCTGTCAGTTTGTCTTCATTTTGTTCTCTGCTCCATTTGTTGTGGCCTCCCTGCCACTATTTCTGGATTCTTCGTATTTTTCTTTTTTTAGAATATCCTGCAATACTCTCTGTAGAGTTGAACTGGTGGTTGCAAATTCCCCCAGTTCCTCTTTATCCTGGAAGCACCTTGTTTTTCCATCAATTTCCAGGGACAGTTGTGCAGGATATCTCAATCTTGGCTGGAGATTATTATATTTCAAAGCTTGAATTATTTCCCCCCAACGCTCTTCGTGATTTGATGGTTTGTGCAGAGAAATCTGCTGTAATTCTGATGGGTGTTCCCTTGTAAGTGGTCTGTTTCTTGTCTCTGACAGCTTTTAATATTCTGTTCTTGTATTGAATTTCTGGAATTTTAATTATTATATGCCTGGGTGTTGCTCTGTTTGGGTGTAGGTGGCTGGGGTCCTGTATGCCTCATACATCTGAGTATCTTTACCTTTTGCTAAATTAGGAAAATTCTCCTGGATTATTTCTGTGAGTAGCTTTTGTAGTTCACTTGTTTGTGTCCCTACTTCTTCTTTTATGTTCTTAATCCTTAAGTTATGGATCCTCTTATCATCTTCTTGTCTTTGTATTATTGCTGTTTGTTTCTTTGTTATTTTAAAGAAGTTTTTCATTTCATTCTCCCATATTACAAGTCTGCCCTCCAGTTCAGATAGTCTGTCCTTAGTTTCTTTTAAGCTGTTATGCCAGTCTTCGATAGACTTCTTAGTATCTTGGTAGTCCCTTTGAACCTGCTTCACGTATTCTATGCTTTCTCTGTTTTCTCCATCAAACAATTCTCCCCTTTTTTTCTGTTCTTCCATTCCACCATCTGTTTTTTCTTGGGTGGTGCTTAGCATTTCTCTAACTATTCTGCATACTTCTAGCTTCAGGTCGTTGATAACTTCATTCCTGAATTGGTCTATGAGGCTCTCTATATGGCGCTTTATGTCTATTGGTGCGGTGTCCGCTATTGCCTGTTTCTCAGAATTGGGGGCCGAGGAGCCTTTCTTGTTGCTGCCTCTTCCCATATTCTCTGTTCCTTATATATGCAAGCTTATATAAGAGGCCCAGCTTCTCTCCCAGTCAGCCACAGCCTGATCGAATTGCACCGGTTAGGTGTTCCCGCTCACTGCTGCGCACCAGGCAGTTACGGATGAGGCAGCCTACGCGTCTCCCCTCCCGGCCACCGTCAGGCTCTGGGATCTGGGTTGGGACAGCCTACTGGGTCTGCCGGCAGCGTCACGCAGGCTAGGCACTTTTCACCAATCCCGCCCGAGAGGGGTATGTGTGGCTGGAATCGCCACCGCGCCCTGCTCCCACAGGACTGCTCTGGCCCAGAAAGTCCTCCGCTGGAGTCAAACTGTGGTAGAGTGTCAGTTTCTCTCACTCACCTCACCATAAGTCAGTGCACACCTCCCTGCCCATCCTGTTTTCGACTCCATTCGCAGATTGCCGTTCTCAGAGCGTCTGCGCGTCTCTCTCCTTGCCGAGCCGATTTAGAGGCAGCCAGCCGCCACGTGGCGGGAAATCCAAATCGCGGCTTCCAATGGCGCGGGGTCCAGCCTCCACACCGAGGCTTTTCTATTCCTGTTTTAGCACCAGGACTGCATTCCAAGTTGGTTTCTCTCAGCCCAGTTCGTTCCTGAGTCAGCAGAGCATATTGCCACCTGCTTATTTCTCCTTAGTCCGCACCATTCCTGGCTTCTGAGCCGAGTCTTTCAGAGAGCCTCCAGTAGTTGCTGTTATCTGTCCGCCATGTTCTCCCCTTGGGTATCGCTTTGAATTTGTCTCATGGATTCTGCTTGTTTTCTACATTGTTCATTCAAAGCTTCAATCAGTTTCCCATTGTCCTGTAATTTTTTTATCTGTTTCTTCTCTAGCTATGTTGAGCAAATCATTTACTAAAGTTGTTATTTCTGTCTTTATGTAAGACAATATTTCTAATTTGATTTCCTCTATAGCCTAAGGGATTTGTTTCTTTACTTCATTTGCTCTCTTTTCAGAGATTTATGACTTTTAAAGTCCTCTATTTCACTATCACCTGTTTTTGTTCCTGATGGACAGATGTTTGAGATTGTATTTTGCTTTTTGCTTTGTCATTTTCACCTTCTGGGCCAATATCTGGTTATTCAATCCCAATAGTCACAACTGTCAGCAGTGTGACTCCTAGGATCCTACTGTGTCATTGATGTCTGCCCAATGGTTGGGTACATAGTGACCATAAGCTGCTGGGGTCCTCCGTATGGGCAAAGGGCCATCAAGTCTCTCGTCAAACCAGTACTGCCAGTCTACTGAAGTTCAAGGTTCTGGGAGGAAGAGTGGAAGTCAAACATTCACAGCAGTGCTTGGTCTAAGAGATGGCAAGGATAGCTGAGCGCAGTGGGCTGAGCCAGGTTGGATGTGGCAGTGCTCTGGGTTGACACATGGGAAGAGCATGAAGGGTCACAGGTACAGCGGTGGTCAGAGCCAGGGTGGGGTTTGGCGGTTATTGTCTGGGCCTGCTTTTGTGGGTGGCCCAGAGGGGAATAGGCATGGCTCAGTGGCCTGAACCAGGGTGGGGCACAGTGGTGGCACTCTGGGTGGGTGGGCAAGGGGTGAGGGTACTAGGGTGCTGGCCTGGCCTCCAGGCCTGTGTGCATAGGGGGTGCACAGGCGTGCAGGAGCAGCTCAGCAGCCTGAGCTGGGGTGGAGTGCGGCAGTCCTAATACTATTTATTGCTGCATTGTATATAATAATAATTGAGAGAAGTTGGTTCTGCTGCTCTTAAATAGTAATAGTAACTTGGAAAGCCTGACATACCATTCTGTATAAACTATACACTTATATTATTGGGATTTTATTCAGTATATGATAATTATTTTAATAACCCTAGCTTGTTTGTTTGAGACAGGGTCTCGCTATGTGGTTCAGATTAACCTTAAACCAACTATGGGGTCTAGGCTAGCCTCAAACTCACAGAAGTTCTCCTGCCTCGGCCTCCCAAGTGCTAGGATTGCAGTCATTTGCCACTACACCTGGTCAGGCTGGCTTGTAACTCACTATGTAGTCCAGGCTGGCTTTGATCTCACTGCAGTCTTCCTGCCTCAGCCTCCCACATGCTGAGATTACAGGCATGTGCCACTCATGCCCAGGCCTGAGTTTGGTTTAAAAGTACAATTATATATATATTCATATTTATATATAGTTATATTATGGTTATATATACACAGTTATGTATAACTGTATATATATGTATATACAGTTTTTCAAATAAGTTGAAAAAACAAATAGAATTTCCTCCTATTAGTTAAGAAATGAGTTTTTAAAGGAATTCCTGAATCATTGCTAGGGAATGTATTAAGTTGAAACAGATAATCCCTACAAGAGAAACTACTTCATTGTTTTAGTTACTGATGAGTCCATGTGCCTTAATTTTTACGTTGTACTTTTAGTTTTAACATTTATTGTAGTTGATATGAAGGAAAAATTATGGTTGATTTTTTACTTCACAAATATATATTTTATGGTATTAAAAGATTCACCTTGTCCTCAAGCATTAGCAAAAAAATGAATTGTCTTAGCACTTCATTTGTTGTTAACTATTTGTACAAACATTGTTTTAAGTTTATAGTAATTTTAATGTCAGTTGGTGAAGTTTTTATTTTCACAATCTGTTTAAGGTAATTTTTAATAGACTTTTCTCTAAATAATCCTTTCCTCCTTTTAGAAAGATGAACAGCGGATTTTCATTGCCCTTAGGGTTTTAGATTACCAAATATGCTGCCAAGAGCAAGGCTGTTCATGCTGGTTGAGGATGTATTATGTTGGAAGTGCCCCTCGAGAACATGGAGGGATGTAGAGTGGGATACGACACAGCAGGGGCAGATCAGCTTGGAACCGATTAAAGAACACTAACATTAACCAGTGGAGCCCCTTGGAGGGAGGCCATGTTCGCTTTAGATTTAGACTTAAAACATTGACTCATAATTTATTTGTTCACTTTTTTTTTTGGTTAGGATGTTTCCATTGCCACTTTGAAATACAAAGGTGTACATTTTGGCAGCTCTCCAGGAAGACAAGAGTTACCTAAAACATCAGGTCCTGGTCCTGGACAGTATGAAGTAGTCACGTAAGTAAAAACAAAGCATATCTTTAATATACTGCTTAACTATAAAGTATTTTACTCACTCATGCTAGGCTATCCTGTTAAGAAAGAAAAACTCTCAGAAGTATTAGATTTTTAAGTAACCTGTGTTGAAAACTCTTACTTTTTAAAATGAACCATATCTGTGGCACCCACTTTGTGTCACCTCATTTAATCTTCACAGCAAGTCTCTGTGTATTCTATCAGTGGAAAGCCCAGGATCAGAGAAGATGAATAACACTTCATGTGACCATTGAAGTGGCAGAACTAGACTTTAACTGATGCCTATTTGTTTACACAGCCTACTAATCTAAGTACTAAGATATACTGTGCTTTGTTATAAAGTAGGCAAAAGGTGAGAGGAACTACAAAAAAGAGACTCAAGTTTCCCTGTCTTAGCTTATCTTTTTGTCTCCATTCTTCAGACTATGTACGAATGCCCTTAGAAGGCATTCTTAATGTAGGAGCAGTAACATTAGGATGTTAGGATATATGTAGTAGTTATGAAATTTAATTAGTGAATGCATTTCTGGTAAAATAACTCTTTTTTTGTCCATACTGCTTTCTACCCTCATAATCAGCTTTAGATATGAATCCATGGACAGCAACATTAACAGATGCAGTGTAGTCCTCAGATTCCACTACTTCTTTATATGATTATGTTTTAAAAGTAGATTCCAGCTTATCTGCCTGGTTTTCCCTCCCATTGCATGGACATAACTTAGGCTCTTGTTTGGTACTGATACATTGAGTTCATGCTGTGTGCCAGTACTGAACTCAGAAACTTAGAATAAAAAGAATAAAACATGACTCTTCTTTTTAGGGGTTTTAGATTCTAGTCCATCACCCTTTTTTTATTTTTCACTTTCCTAATGTGAAATTTATCATTGCATTTTATTCTTTTCGTACTTATACTAGAAACTTAACATGCACATTTAGCTTAATACAGTATGTTCTTACATCATCAGCATTCTTCCAAACATGACCTGTAGATGGTTCTAGCTCTGACTACCCTCTTTTGACATGTGCCTCTGTTGTTTAGTATTCCATCCCCCGACTGCAGGGGCTGCCTCCTGTCCTCCCTCTGCTTCTCATGGAGGTTAAAGAGAGAAAGCAGTGAGGACTCCAATCTGGAGCAGTTCTAAATTTGCGTTATAGTTTTTCCTGCCATTCTGTTTTACTTCCCCCACCTCATTCCACTTCCAGTTTCCCGGTTGTTTCCGGCTGTTCTTTTCTTTGATCTGCCTTTAATTTTCCTTAGTCTTCCTCTTTATTCACTTTTATTTTTATCTTTGGCATGCAGGAATGAGTTCCTGTAAAGTGCATAACTGCTTTGATTATCTGTGTTCATAGTTTTTTAGATATCGTTTTTTAGAAGTTGGTTTCTTCTAGTGGTTGACATTTCCTACTTGACTTTGTCTGTATGTTTCGTTTTTGCATTTTGGTTAATTTGAGTCAGAATTGTTATAAGAGACTTGAAATTTGTTATCTATACGCACATTTATGGTTTTGAAGACAAGCTTAGCTTTTGAGTTTTGTGCAAATAGAAATCAGTGAAAATTATTTAATAGTGAGCTGAGTTGGTATATGTACATTTAAATCATAACACTGCTATCAAATAATGATGACTGTTACATAACTTAAATTTTGTTTTTCTATTATCTAGTTTTAAATATTTGTATGTTGAGTATAATTTTTTGGAACATTGGATATCAGATTTTTTAGAAATTCTGATTAAAATAGCAGTATAGATGATATATATATATATATATATATATATATATATATATATATATGTATTTCTTGCCATAATTAAGCTAATAGATATTGTGGGCTATGGGCTCCATGTGGCAATAATCACTTCATGTGTATTTTCTGTTTTAATCATTGTGTTCTTGAGAACTGGTTATTAGTTTTTCCATTTACAGATGAAGAACCTGAAGCTGAGAGAAGTGATTTGCTTAAGGTAACATAGATTTCTTTCAGGTTCTCTGACTCCTAAAACTTGAACTCTTACTACTTTCTCGAGGTTGTCTGAATTTCATTGAAAAAGCTCCTCTTTCATGATCAGAGATCCTTATACCTTTATCTCGATTGCCTTGGGATATAAATAACAGAGGCATCACATCTCTTATTTTAGTAGTAGTTGAAATACCAGGGGTTTTAGAATTTTAAACTTGTGGAATGTATAGGAACAAAAATTGGTGGCTTTTTATATCAATTCATGATATAACTCTCACATATCATCTTCTATAAAACAGTTTTAGCACAGTTTTATAATGCTCTGAACTGGAAAAATTAGAACTAAACAATATAAGATATGAATTTTTATAAAATTTTGAAAGTATTAGTCTAGTCTAATTAATTGCTCTTATTGTATACTTTTAAAGCAAGAAATATAGCATAATCTTTGTGCTTGTATAAATGTTTATATATTTAAAATCAAGAACTCTCAATTTATATATGAATTTTCTAAAGGAAAAAGATATTACGCTGTGAAAATATTAATACCAAGAAAGGTCAACAGCAAAGTTATTACTCTTATATCCCACGTTTTTTTGAAGTAATAGAATTGCAAGAGGAAAAAAAGGTAAGTTAAAAAGTGATTATTTCATCTTTTTCTAGGTTTTAAAATCATTGAATACCTTTTCACAAGTGTAAAGTGCTCTTAGATATAATGTACCTGCTAGCTATGCCACTCAGTGAATATCATAGATGGAATGTATCTCTGTCAAAAGGTGGAACTCACTATTACTGTTTTGCTTTAGTGTAACACGTTCACCCCCTAAAAATGTTCTTAAACTGACCTAAACTTCTCTATTTCCTACCTGCTTATTATTCTTCCTTCTTGTACAATTTCTTATCAATTTCCTTTTTTTTTTTTTTCTGGTAAGGATAAATGTTTCAGGTATTTTTGACTTTTAGTAACTTCAAGATCACTTATTTTTCTTTGAAGTTATATAAGGGCCTTTATCATATTTGAAACTAAGTGTAATATTCTAGATGTAGTCTGATTTATATAGTTATAATTTTCATCTTTCTTCTTCTGGATAGTATATGTCTTAGTTACTTTTTACTGATCGCTGAGACAAAATACCTGATGACCAAAGCTGGGAAAGGAAAGGTTTATTTCTTACAGTTTTTGAAGGTTTCAATCCATACTCAGTTGGCTCCAAGGCAGGGTGGCATGGCAGGGCCGCGGTTCATGGTGGCTGCAAACAGCAAGGCAGAAACTGGCAAAAGAGAGAGACACACCTTCTTCCTGCCATTACATCACATCCTGGCTCCACCCCTATGTGGATGTTGCACTGACACCATCAATCCAAGCACTAGACAATGAACCAATCACAGATGCATGATGTAAATGCATGATGTCTGGAGGCCACCGACATAAACCATGACGTATATATTTACTAAGATAAAATTCATTTTAATATCTATTCCACTGTTTTGTAGCTATGTTTCAGTTTTCTTGTTTGGAACTTGTGGGCAGGTAAAAATAAAATTTGCTTTAGTGTATGATATTTAAACTTAAAAATTATAGTATAAAAATTTAAAAACAGATACATTTAGACTAAAGATAAATGATTCTCTATTGAAAAATCAATAATTATTTCAGTGAGAATTTTTTCCAAGACTTCCTTGGTCTTCTAAATATTAATCATCAAGGAAACATACTATTTATCAGAAATAAAACAGTATAATATTAGAAAAGCATATTAACAAAATGATAAAATTATTTTCTGAAAATAACAAATATATGCCTCCAAGCAAATAAAGAAGTATCAATTTTCAATCTGAGCATTGCAGTGGCTATAATAATTTCAAAATACACTCAGAAAAGGTGAAAAAAATCTTGTCTTTTCATTAAGGTTTTATCAATTGAATTTACACATAATATTTTACTTCAGATGTCAGTAAAAATTCACAGAAATTACAGTGAGAAGTTTTATTTGAAATTGATTTTCAAAGAATAATCTTACTGTTACATTTTTTTTTTAATCGGTACTGGGGATTGAACTCACAACCACCCGCTTGCAAGACAGGTGCTTATGCCGCTGAACTAAATCCCCAGCCCCTATTGTTACATTTTTAAAATGCCTTCTTTCATAGTGTTACCCTATTTTGCTAAGCATGGTGGTGCATGCCTGTAACCCCAGCACTCAGGATGCTCAGGCAGGAAGATTTCTGTAAGTTAGAGGCCAGCATGGGCTACAAAGTGAATTCACGGTTAACCTAAACTATGTGAAACCCTGTCTCAAAACCAAAACAAAAACGAAAACAAATTGCCCTGCCTTTGTTGATAGAAGATAACTGTGGTTTGAGATTATTTTGGAATTATGGAACAGTTAATAAACAACATAATAATTGATAATTGATATCAGGGGCATAAATTTCCTTTATTTAAATATTAGCATCTGTATGCTTTTTCTTATAAACTGTAAAATCTTCATTTGATTAGAGTTCCCAAGCATGGGGCCATTAGCATTGTGTCATTCACATAGTGGCTAAAATATGCTAAGGACTCAGTCGGTACTTATTAAATAGATGCATGCTTTTCTCTTAAATACTAACATCTTCTTATATTTCATGGGGATGCAAGTTTTTTTACAATGTGAAATATTTTCTGTATTTGTGCAAAGATTTTGACATGTTAAATTTTTAGTTCATTTTCAGGAAAATGATTTTGAATGCATTTTTTCTTCAGATTCTTCTACTTGTAGTTTTGATTTCCACTTATGTTCTTTTCCACTTACAATTATTATATGTCATATGCTGAAATGTTACCTCAGTATTGTCCTACTGTATATCACTATTATTGGCCTGGAAAACCTAGAAGAAAATAAATGGTAATACTATAGATCTTGTATGTTGGGGGAATAGGAAAAAGGAATGTGAATGTTCCAAAGATCTGTAAGTTTTCTTGCTTCTGTATTGTTTATTAGAGAGATCTAATGCAAAGCTTAAATTTGGTCATTTTTAATAGTGTTTACCTCTAACTATTATGTGCTTTGAAGCACATTTTTTTTCAATATGTGACTTTACCCAGGGGTTTTGCTTATTTTTCTATAGTAACTATGAAATGCACCTCTTTTAAAATCATCTCTGAAAACAATTATGATAAATTAAGAATTTTGGTGTAACAAAGAGTATTTATTATTAAAACAATGTAAAAGTATTTGTATTTTCTGTATATTTAATATAAAACCAAAAAGTATTTCCTCAAAATGAGTGTTTCTCTCAGTGAATCCCAAAAATACTGAAAAAAATTAAAAGTAATTTTTATTTCTTTACTGTGTAAATCACAAAATGAATAATAACTTGAATGAGCTAATTGAGATAAAAGGGCTTTAATGTAAATGACATTTCTCATTGTTTTACTGTTATAGCCAGTATTTCTTCCTAAGACATGTACTATTGTAACTTAAGTTTTAAAGTAAATAGAGGGAGGTGGGCTTTTTTTTTTATTTAAAGAGAAAGAAACAAAAAAATACATGGAGATAAAAAGGGTAGAAATAATACAGAATTACAGAAAAATAAATGGTAAGAAATAGCCAGTTAATAAGTTACATATTGTCATCTTAGAAATAGCTGTTCAGGTTACAATATTAAAGTATGTAAAATGACATTCAAATAGTGATACTGCCAACAGTTCTGCTCAGTGATCTAACAAAAACTTAGTAATATGGTTATCAGTCCTACACACTTGTTTTATATCTTAAAGAGGGTAAGATTAAACATATCAAAACAGAACAAAACAGTTTAAAAAAAAACACTTTAAAGAAATACAGATTTCAAATCAAGTCCACTGGAGATCTTCACTGTCTATCTAATTGTCTCTAGTTTCTTCCAAATAGTTGTCCCCATCTTCACACACATTAAATACATACTGCATATTATAGAACTAATCAAATCATTACAGGGTGATGAAGGCTTTTTAGGTCTTCAAGATCTTGCATTGGGGAAGACAATAATAACTACCATCGCATTTCTCATTCTCTTCGTACTAGCTGTCCTTATCTTTACATATGCTGATATTGAACTTAAGAGACTAGACTAATATCACTCTGATCAGTGAATAATAGTATTGCTAGATTTTATATCATAATGCTACAAAATTAGCACTGGGTTTCTTAGTGTCTCTTCTTCTTCAAAGTAGCTGTTCATTACATATTGCATTATATAATCTGTTCTTGTAAATAGTTTTTTAAAAGAATCTTCTCATGCATGAATTTCTACCTGTATATCTATCCTCTCTGTATTATAGGGGAAAACAAATCATAACTAGACAGCAAAACAAATTCCTAGATAAACATGCAGTGAAAAAGACACATAAGACCACAATATTAGATGATCTATTTTAGTTACCATGCTTTCTCTTGTTATTTTCCATAGTCTTGTCCACATCATCAGGTTTAATATAGTTGAACATAGTATTACCTAGCTATTTTTATAATAACACAACTTTGAAAACATTGTAGGACTTGAGAGCTGTTAATAATTAATACTGGTATGGATATCTTTTACATCATGTCATCTTCAGAGTAGCTGCCTCTACTTTTAGGGTTGATACTATCAAGCGGCTTTTTGTTTTTCTAAACTGCATTATTTCTTGGTCCATATAATGCTTATGGTAGTTGCCCAATGATTATGATGACATGGAATCATTAAATTTTCCATTATTTTGTTCCCAGCTAAGTGCTGCGTGTGTGTGCATGTGTGTGTGCATGTGCATGTGTGTGTAAGCTAACAAGAAGAAGGCAGAGATGACTTGTAAGTGTTGTTTTTAGATGAATGTGTCCTGTGAGATGGTTATAACAAACTGCTCACTACAATAAGCAGAGCACATGATAAGTTCATTTTGCGACAATTGAATTTGGAGAAAAATTATAAACGAAGTAGAAATTTGAAAAAACAGGAACTTCAAATTTATGGATGGAGATATGAATTCAGCAACCATGTATTTAACATGCTTTTTGAAGAAGTTCATTAGAAATCTGAAAGTGAATTGTTTTACTTTGAAATTGAAATATAGGGAAATCATGCTTAGTATTTCTTTTTCTTGAGATTCATACTATTATTTTAGTATCTAAATTTTGAATCTAAGTTAGTTTAATGTCTAAGTTAAAATGATTTAAAAATACTGTCAAATTTTTGTGCAAGCATTTTCTGATTTCACAAAAAGTATAATTACATTTTCATAAATATGGATTTTTAAAATTACCCTATTTGAGATCTATTTAATTCTGTTACATACAGTGTTGTTTCCATATATCTTATGAATATATATGACATTATAACTTACTGAGAACTATTAAAAACACAAATACTAAATACAGTTCAAACTGAATCTTTTCCAGGGTATGTCTTGCCTTTGATAGTGAAACTTGTTTTGCACTGTCTTCTTCAATATTAATAAGGCTTTAAGAAAACTCTTCCATGTGCAAAAGTATTTAATAATTGTTTCTATTGAAGTTCTTTGATTTGGTAATTCAAAATGTGTGAAGTTGTCATATTAATTTTATCATTTCATAAAAAGTAAAATTCCACTAGGTGGCGCCAATATTTTGATCTTTACTGATAAAACAT